TAAACCCTAATAAACCTTAATAAACCCTAATAAACCCTAATAAACCTTAATAAACCCTAATAAACCCTAATAAACCCTAATAAACCCTAATAAACCCTAATAAACTGTAATAAACTGTAGTAAGCGTCACTTACCAACGAAGTCGCTGGGGGGTACATCAAAAGGCAGAGCAGAACAAAACAAATGAAAGAGAAGAACGCCTACAGCCCAAGAGTCTTTCCTCTCTGACGTTAATATTCGTCTCTTCTCGTATAATTGACAACGCATATTCTCAGGAGGTAAATAACGCCGAGTTCCGTTCAAACACTCTGTGTTCTGATTCACTGGCTGCAACACAAACCCTAAACCCTAAACCCTAAACCCTAAACCCTAATCATTTACCCTAGTCAAACACCCTAATCATACACCCCAATCCTAAACCCTGATCATACACCATAATCATAAACCCTTAAAAACCCTAACAAGCAATAAGAAACAATAATAAACCGCAATAAACAATAATAAACCCTAACTAGCCCTAAACCCTAAACCCTAAACACTAGAGTAGAACCCCATGGCGAGGCTGGAAGTCACAGCATCAACGTGCATGCTGCTGCTGCTGTTGTTGCTGCTGTTGCTGCAGCAGCAGCAACAGCAGCAGCGGCGTTTTGAACCCCGGCAGCAATGCGACAGCGCGTGGGTGTCCGCAGAAACTGCTGCTTGCTGTGCGCTAGGGTTTAGGGTTTAGGGTTTTATAATGCTCACCGTGCACAAGCCGTTGTCACCTAAGAATATTCTTCCGTCCTGTTGAATAAAGAAGTTTGGGGCTTTAATATCAGAATGCACAAGCCCCATTGCATGCAGACTCATTGCGGAGCTGCATGCACAAACCCTAAACCCTAAACCCTAAACCCTAAAACCCAAAGTAAACAAAAGACAATATGCAGAAGGAGACAGAACACGAAGTGCATGCATGCAGCAACAAACACCATACGCTCACCAATGCCCGCACACTCTCACCGCCACACTCTAGGGTTTAGGGTTTAGGGTTTAGGGTTTAGGGTTTCGGTGTGTCTTACTACATAACCTGCTTCGTAACTTCTATTCGCACAGTCATTCGGCTTTTCCATATCTCGCTGACGCTGAGGAGATCTCCTGCAGCAAACAGAGACACTAAAAAGACAAAAGGAGACACTAAAAAGACAAAAGGAGACACTAAAAAGACAAAAGGAGACACAGCATCATCACCATCATCATCATCATCAGCATCATCATCATCATCATCATCATCAGCAGCAGCAGCAGCAGCAGCAGCAGTAGCAGCAGCAGCAGTAGCAGCAGCAGCAGCAGTAGCAGCAGCAGCAGCAGCAGCAGGAGCAGGAGCAGGAGCAGCAGCAGCATGTTATACCAGCGAACACATCGAAGACGACCCATTCGTGCGAGTAGATGCTGCTTTCTGCGTCTGTCGTCAAAATCTTCTCCACCGGCTCAACCAAGTCCAGCGGAATCACCACTTGAGACACCTGTGCCCTATCAAGACAAAAGGAGACAGTATATATATATATATATATATTTATATTTATATATATATATTTATATTTATATATATATAATAAAGATATAAAGAAACAGAGACATATATATAATAATAAAACATAAAGAAACAGGTTCGAGATATCTGTGCCCTACAATAAAATCAAGACAAAAGGAGACAGTATACATATATATAATGAAGAAACAGAGACATATATATATAATAAAACATAAAGAAGCAGAGACATACATATGTATATATAGACAGAGAGAGAGTGAGAGAGAGAGAGAGAGAGGATAAAGCATAAAGAAACAGGCTTGAGATATCTGAGCCCTAAAAAAAATCAAGACAAAAGGAGACAGTTCAGGAGACATATATATATATATATACATATAAGGAATAAAACATAAAGAGACATGCATGGAGGATGTAGACGCATGCAGACAATGCATGCATGCAGCCACTGCATGCATGCATGCATGCATGCATGCATGCATGTGGGGTGTAGATGCAGGTGCATGCATACCACTGCTGCACATCAACACCGGGGGGAACGAACTTCCAGAGAGAAATCTCTTGCTGCACTCTTCTTTTTAAAACATCTTGATCGTACTGAGGGCCCCTTCTGCTGCGGTTGCGGAGGCGGCAGACCTTCACAGCCAAGCGCCTGTTGTTTGTTACGTCGATCGCCTGCATATACACCCCAAACCCTAAACCCTAAACCCTAAACCCTAAACCCTAAGCCCTAAGCCCTAAACCCTAAAATCTAAACCCTAAACCCTGAAGGCAATAGCTTCATTGAAGTACATAGTAATCAACCGTAAAGCCAATATGCTGCCCTCTATTTGAATGCTTCACAAGCTCGAAATTAGGGTTTAGGGTTTAGGGTTTAGGGTTTGGCGCACCGAGAGTACAACCCCTATCCCACCCGCACCCAACACATCAGTGAAGATAATTTTAAAGCGGCTTCCTCTCCTCGCAGCACTTGAGACATACAACTCCTTATTAAACCCGTAAGCGTCTTGCCATAAGAGCTGCAGCAGCAGCAGCAGCAGCAGCAGCAGCAGCAGCAGCAGCAGCAAGAGCAGCAGCAGCAGCAGCAGCAGCAGAAGCAAGAGCAGCAGCAGCAAGGAAGGTAAGAGTAGAGACGCAATAACAGCAATACCCACTCGGGTTTGACAAACCCTAAACCCTAAACCCTAAACCCTAAACTCTAATATCCTGTTACTGAAGCATGATAAGGGTTTAGGGTTTGGGGCCTTTTGAGGGTCTCGTCCTTCTTGCTAGGGTTTAGGGTTTAATTAGGGTTTAGAAACCCCCTTACTCTCTCTTTAGACAGCTCAGGGGTAATAGTCTCCCCAACAAAATCTTTTAGCAATTCTGGGTGCAGCACGCGAGGGTCTGGCGTCCACCGAAGCCCCCTTACTGTGGGGCCCCGCTTCGTATCTTGATAAAACTCGTGGGGGGCCCTATCTCCTCGCTGAGGCCAAGAGAGGGGCCCCCGGGGGCCCCCCCCAACGGAGGAGGGGCCCCCAGGGGGCCCCCCCGTTGGCCCCATTGGGGCCCCCATTGAGGGCCCCATTGGGGTCCCCATGGGGGCCCCCAGGGGGGCCCCCATAGTGGGTACCTGGCCCACTCTCCACATATGCTGCAGCAGCAGCACCAACATATATAACACAAAAAGAAAAGAATTATGCATGCATGCAGTGTACGTTTAGTATATTTGAATGGTTCGTGCTGCTGCTGCTGCTGCTGTTGCTGCTGCATTGTGCTTCTGCTGCTTCTGCTGATGGTGCTGCTGCAGCCAAGTATCGTTATACAACTACTGCTGCTACTGCTGCTGCTGCGACCGCAAGTGCTGCAGTGCTGCTGGTGCTGGTGCTTACCTCTGCATTTGCCTGCTGCTGCTGCTGCTGCTGCATCATTTGGGGCCCCGCAGCAGCATCAAACTTGTAGGGCCCCGGATGATGACCCCTCCCCTTCCCAAGGGGCCCCTTAAAGCTCCCCACTTTGCTGCGGTTATCAGCCCCCAATCTTCGTCTAACTAAACCCAAAGAACTCCCAGCAGCAGCAGCAGCAGCAGCTGCTGCTGCTGCTGCTGCTGCAGCAGCAGCAGGACCCCCAAGGGACCCTCCAAGGCCACCCAAAGGAGACCCCTCATCTCTCTCTCCCCAGTATGCTCGGGAAGCCCCTTTGGGGGCCCCTCCACGGGCAAGGGGGCCCCATTGTAGGGCCCCTTCTAATGCCTCTACACCCCCTTCGCTGTCAGCTTCCGGTGTTGCTGCTGCTAGAAGCTGCTGCTGCTGCTGCTCTGCTGCAAGCCAACTAATTGGATTAAGATAGAAGCGCTGCAGTGTCTGCGCATGTGCATGCAAATCTTCCTCAAGAGGCGGGCTTATTAATTCAAAGGGGCCCCCTGGGGGCCCCTCAAAGGGGCCCCTAATGGGGGGGGCCCCCCCGAGGATCCCATAGTAATCTTTGCCTTCTGCTGCAGCCTTAATCCTATCCCCCACTGACAAATCCAAGAGAGCATCGATCTGAGACAACACACTGCGCTCATCTAGAAGAGAAGGGTCCCCCAAGGGGCCCCCCAAGGGGCCTCCAGAGGGGCCCCCCAAGGGGCCTCCAGAGGGGCCCCCCAAGGGGCCCCCAGAGGGGCCCCCAGCAGGGGCCCCTGGTTCTAGCGAGACCTCTATAAGATTGTTGTCCGAATGAGGGGGGCCCCCCACCTGCTGAGAGTGCTTGGGGGCCCCCCATGAAAAGATGCTGTCTAGCCAGAGATGAGGGAGAAAAAGAAAGCAAAATAGAAGAGCTGCTGCTGCTGCTGCTGCTGCTGCTGATGCTGCTGCTGCAGGCTTCAGCCTGAAAGCCCAGGGGGCCCCCATATCTGCGCTGCTGCAGGATGCATGCCGCTAAGAACGAATGATAAAAAGAAACAGCTCCTGCTGCTGCACTTGCTGCTGCTCCACCTGCTGCTGCTGCCGCAACGGCTGATGCTACTGCTGCAACTGTTGCAACTGTTCGTGCTGCTGCTGTTGCTGCTGAAACTGCTGCTCTTGATTCTGCTGCTGCTCCAACTGGTGCAGCTGCTGCAGCTGCTGGTGCTGCTGCGACTGCTGCTGCTCTTGCCGCTGTCGATACACCCGAAACGGCTATAGATGTGTTCACGGGGGGCCCAAAGAAGCAGCAAGGGGCCCCCAACTGCTGCTGCTGGAGCTCCTCAGGGGTGCAGCAGCAGGATGCTGATATTCTTGACAAAGAAGAAACGGGGGGAGTCCCTGCTGTTGCTGCTGCTGCTGCTGTTTGGCGTGCTGCTGCTTCCGCTGCAGGCGATCCCGCTCCTCTGTTCTTGCTGCTGCTGATCCTAGAGCAGTTGGTGCTGTTGCTGCTGCTGTTGCTGCTGCAGCTGGCCTTAAAGCTGGCCTGAGCTGCAGCAGCAGCAGCTGCTGCTGCTGCTGCTGCTGCTGCTGCTGCCGCGAGGGCGGGGCTTCTGCTGCAATTGATTGTTGCTTGGCTTAATATGCTGAGAGAGATGAACAAAGATAAGCAAAAAGTAAATATATTTTATTTAATATTGTGGTATTAAGGAGCAGCAGAGAGATGAATGACAGGCAGAAGTGAGAAGGGCTCTTAGGGCTTCTTTGCTGCTGCAGCAGACGCTCTATCTGCTGCTGCTGCTAGAGCTGCTGCTGCATCTTTGCTGCAATTTTTCTTCATTTAAATGGCATTGTTTATCTACAAACAAACACAGAGATGCAGTTCTTCTTTATAAAAAACAACCCTAAAGAACAGCAGCAGCAGCAGCAGCAGCAGCAACAGCAGCACGGGAGCAGCAGGTAGCCGCTGCTCAGCAGCTCTCGTTACTGCTGTTCGTGGTAGGGAGAGCAGCTTTTTCGTTGTATAAATATAAAAAGTAATTAATATAATTTAATTAAATAAATATACAAATTAATTGCTGCAGATCAACAACCCTAGAGGCTGCTGCTTTGCCTCGATGCTGCAGTGTACAGACACCTCCTTCTCAGCTGCTGCAGCAAGAACAAAGAATATGAGAGTAAGGCGAAGTTATATTTATTTATATCTCTTTTATATGCTTAGCTTTAAGTGCATGCAGCATTAGCATGCAACATTCAGAGGGGGAACAGCTACAGCCCGCCAAACCCCTTTTAATTTATCTTTGTTTGCTAGTCTGCTGTCTCTGCTGCTTTATCTACTCTTTTCTTCTGCTGTTTTTGCTTCTACTTGCATGCGAGACAACTGCAATAGCCACACAAAACAAAACAACTGAAAATACTGTCTCTCCGTCTCTAAAGGAGGCCCACGCACTCCTCTCCTGTTGATGCTGCTGCTGCTGCTGCTCTTATTGCTGCTGCTGTTGCTGCTGCTGCTGCTTCTCCTATTGCTGCTGCTGCTGCTGCTGCTGCTGCTGCTTTCGCATGCTCTTTCTTCGATAGTTCGCTCATGGTAGGCGGTGGAGAGAGAGGGAGAGACAGAGAGAGACAGCCAGCCAGAGACAGAGCAGCAGATATAAACAAAGAGAAGAGACAGAGAGAGAGACAGAGGCGGAGAGAGAGACAGAGACAGAGAGCAGACAGAGACAAAGAAAGAAGCGAACAGAGAACGGTCTCCTGTCTCTCTTAGACAGCGGAGACAGAAGAAAAGATATAACGCAGTTAGCCAAGAGAAACACAAAAAGATAGACACACTTAAACAAATTAAGAGAGACTCTGCTGCTTTCAGGGGACTATAAGCTGCCTCTATAAAACTGCTGTTGCTGCTGATCCAGCAGCAGCAGCAGCGCTGTTGCTGCTGCAGTTGAATGAGGAGACAAAAGGGGTTTGTAGGCCTCTTTAATATCTATCATCTTTTTCTTGTTCCGTCAGTATCTGTCTGTCTGCACTGCTGCTGCTATCTGTCTCCTTCTGTCTATTGCTTAGTGCTGTCTGCTGTCTCCTCTTTATCTCTGTCTCTACTTTCGTCTCTGTCTCTGTCTCTACTCTTCGGGTCTCCGCCTCGTCTTACAGCAGCGCTGCTTATGAATACTGTCTCCGGCAGTTGTTCCATCTGCTGTCTGTCTCCTTTTACCTCTCTGTCTCTTCTTTTATATCTCTCTGTCTCTCTCTCTCTCTGTCTCTGTCGCTGTCCCTCTATCTGTCTCTCTGTCTCTTACTCTCTCTCCCTCGCATGCACGAGGCCTCCTCAGCGTAATAAAATTATTTATTTTATACTGTTTTGAGGTCTCCCCGTAGACAGAAGAAAGCCCCAAAACCCAAACGACAGCTTTGCTGTGGAGCGACAGCCTCCGGGGTGTACATGCAGCTTTTGCGGTGTACATGCAGCTTCTGCGGTGTACAGGCAGCTTTTGCGGTGTACAGGCAGGTTCTGTCTTGCGTGAGGCAAATGTCTTTGTCGCACCACGCACAAAAAAATATATAGCCAGATGCTGCATGCAACGAGGAGAAGCAGCAGCTACAGCAGCAGCAGCAGCAGCCGCAGCGGCTGCAGCAGCAACAGACTGTCTCCCCCGTGCGAAACAAATACCCTGGAAGCTGCACGACAGCGCGCACCCCCACTACCTGTCTCTAATGAAAAGGAGACAGGAGACACGAAAGGAGGTAAAGCCCTCCTTATAGCCCTGTGGGTGCAGCAGCCCTAAACAAAAAGAGAGATCGTATCTACGTGCTGTACGTTTGCTGCTGATGTTTGCTTTTGTGTTTTGTTGCTGTTGCTGTTGCTGCAGTTGCTGTTGCTGCTGTTGTTTCTAAGGCTCAGCAATTAATCGGGCTGTCTGTCCGCTCAGGGACTCCCAAAAGTGCGTCTCCTTCTTCTCTCTGTACACCCCACAAGCAAAAGGAGACAGACACCCCACGTGCATGCACCCCACATACACCCCACACTTCGGTGTACAGCTCCCAGCAACGAGGAGACAACGCAAAAATAAATAAAATGAAAACAAGGAGACCATCGAGAAGCAGATGCAGACAACAAAGGAGACACCGATATCACACCCCATCGATCCCGACCCCACAAATCGATCCCAATCCCACGCACACAACCCTAGGGTCGATCAACCCCACAGAGACGATCCCAGGATCGATCCCATTGGGGATCGATCCCACGGCTCTGTGAGCCCAGTATCGATCGATCCCTGCCCCACACAATCTATCCCCCTTCTAGGATCGATCGACTTCGGGTTGAGAATCGATCTCGATCCTGGGATCGACAATCGATCCCGGGATCGATCCCAGTGTGCATTGTGTTTACCTGTTTCCTATAGTTGCGCTGAGTGTCTGTCTATTTTGAATAACTCTGGAGACAAGCTCCCTAGTAGTCCAGAGAGAGAAGCTCTCTGCTTCTCTATATATACCCATCTCCTTAGGAACCTTATAAGGATCTTCTTGCTGTATGAAGCCTCCACCAGCTGTACGTACACCCGGGCCCTCCCCACACCCCTCCTGCTGCTGCTCCGCTGTGCTGTCTACGCGCGTGCCCCTCACAACAATTTGAACTCCAAACATCTCCAGCAAATGCTTCGGGATAACCCAAGGTGCCCCTATTATCACCTCGTCTACCATTCGCATTGCTGCAGCAGCAGCAGCAGCAGCAGCAAAGGCAGCAGCAAAAGCAGCAATGAGGTTCAAATTGCCCGACTCATCAAACAAACTTTAAAACGTTCAACGCCAGACGCTGCCACGAGAACCACCAACACAAAATAAGGCAGCAGCAACAGCCGCAGTAGCAGCAGTAGCTGCTGCTGCAGCAACAGCAGCAAAAGCAACAGCAGCAAAAGCAACAGCAGCAGCAACAGCAGCCTACCCAAGACATTCAATGCCCTCTCGTTCAAATTAAGCACTGGGAATCCAGGGCCCTTGACAGCAGCAACAGTCGCATCATCTGCAGCAGCAGCAGCAGCAGCAGCAGCAACAGCAGCAAGAAAAGCAGATGCACACTCGGCGAACAACAGTTCCAGAGGTGGGAGGAGACAGCGAAGCAGAGACAGCAAACAAATACAAAGTGACAGACACATGAACAGACGAAAAAACAGACAGAGAAGAAGACAAGAGACAGCAGCAGCAGCAGCAGCAGCAGCAGCAACAGCAACAGCAGCAAAGAGGCAAAGCTGCAACAAAAGAGACAGCCAAAAACGACAAAAAACGAAGAGAGAAGGCGCAAACAAAGAGAGGAGACAAATACGGGGACAGCAGATAAATATAAAACGAGGAGACAGCGACAGAGACAGAGATAAACAGAAGAGACAGAGACAAACAGAAGAGACAGAGACAGAGAGACAGAGACAGAGGCAGAGGCAGAGACAGAGACAGGCACAGAGACAGAGACAGAGACAGAGACGGAGACAGAGACAGATATAAAAAGAGACAGTGATAGACACAGAAACGGAGACACAGAGAGAGAGAGAGAGACTGACAGAGAGAGACGGAGACAGAGAGACAGACAAATAGAGAGAGAGACAGACGAAGAGACAGAGAGAAGGAGACAGTAAAAGCTCTTGAGGTGTCTGTACACACCATGTATTCCGACAATTAAATAATCCCCCATTTGTTTTGCTATCTTCAAAATTCTCACGTGCCCAACTGCACAAAACAAAACGACAAACATGCACGCAAAATTATACCTCCATATACACCTCAATATATGCATGCATACACCTCAATATATGCATGCATACACCTCAATATATGCATGCATACACCTCAATATAGGCATGCATACACCTCAATATATGCATGCATACACCCCAATATATGCATGCATACACCTCAATATATGCATGCATACACCCCAATATATGCATGCATGCATACACCTCAATATATGCATGCATACACCCCAATATATGCATGCATACACCTCA